AGACAGCGAGTACTGATGAAATGCCGGACGGCCTTTATTGAAAGCATTTTTCCCACCCCGACCTCCTCTGCCATAGGGAGGCCGTCGGTGGGTGTGTTGGTCCCGCGAACCTCCCGTGTGCCTGTCTGGGCCCGGGGGTCTCGTCGCTGGGGAACGATGGACCACGGAGCGTGGATATGGTCCGGGGCGCCTGCCGGGCGAGCGCTCCCTGCCTCTGTCTCGGCTCCGCGCTGGTGGGCGGGCCTCGCGTCTTGCAGCTAGATGCTGGGCTAGGCTAGCAGAGTCCTTAGCTGCGGTGTCCAGCCTAGTCATCAGCGTCTGCATCTCCGGACCGAAGAGTGACGTTTGGGAGATGGGCAGGTCCAGCAGCTGCCTCTTCTCCGCCTCTCTGAGGTTCACCGGCCCCAGCCAGAGGTGTCTGGCCCCAACTTGTGCTGCTGCCATCGTGCGGCCGCCATCGACAGCTAGCGCCTGGCACATGCGCAGGATCGCCGCTGAAGTGGTCCTCGCCTGGGATAAGGTGTCTCCACTGAGCGCCTGGCCAGAAGAGAGAGACCTATCCAGGGCCCCGGTGATGAAGGCCATGTTGTTAGCCACCGCGACGACCTGAGCCGCATTGGCGTAACATCTGTCGAGCATCGCCAAAGACATCCTATCCCGCTCGGAGGGAAGGAGAGGTCTGGTGCTGGGCCACACGGATGCGGAGAGGTGCAGGGCCGCTCGAACCGAGTCCTCGATGTCCGGGACCCCGCCGATCCAGGACCAGTCCTGCACGTTACAATACATGCCGTACCCCAAAGCGGGCCTCTTGGCCGCTAGGGGCTTTGGCCACTCACGTGTCGCGTAATGGACGATCGGGTCCATCCGCGGGCACAACGTGGGCTGCGCTCTCCTCCTCCCTCGAGGGGTGGCGTAACCAGAGGTGAAGTCCTCCACCCTCTGGTTCGGTTGCGGTGGCAGGGAGGCATCCATGATGGCCGCCGCCGTGGCGTAGAGCCCAGGCATGTGGTCCAGTGGGTAGCGGTCCGGCTCCGGGTTGGACACCACCTCGTCCAGCGTGAGGAGAGAGCCGACCTCCGACACCTCTCCGTCCTCGCAGTCACCCCACTCCGCGGGCACGGGTGGAAGGTCGAGGGGGGCCCAGTCAATCGCAGACTCCTCGTCCTGAGAGGAGTCCGGACGGGGCGCTGTAGCGGCGAAGAACGCGCGCCTGCGTTCACTCTCCTTCCTGGGGAGAGCGAGACACGAGGCGCAGGTGGCGCTCAACGCCGCATGGCCCGAACCCAGGCACAGGAAGCAGCTGGAGTGCTGGTCCTTGCGCTGGAGCTTGACCCGACAAGTCGAGCAACGACGACGTCCGACGCCGGATGGCGAAGGGGAACTCGGACGAGCATCAGAAGACATCTTTCCTCAGGTAATTGAATGTAGATCTCAATCGGCGCCAGAGTGAAAGAGGGGGTGCGGCCTTTATAGAGGAAGGTGGCTGGTGATTGGAGCAAATTATTTTGATCTCTCTGGCGTGTGACCTGGGGGTCACGAGTGATATCCCACTAGCGAAGTCCTAAGGGACGTAGCACCATGACGTAGAATAAATACCGTAAAATGACATTATGTGTATATGATGTATATAAATGTATGTATTATATAAATAATTGATGTTTGTTTTTTTTTTGGCTCAGTTTCTTATGTTTTACGTTTTTTACAGCTGTACTACAGAAGCAACCCCAGCATTATAGACAAACTGCTTCAGGAAGGGCATCAGGAGTACAGAGTTTTTTGCTTTTATAGTGGAATTTTGTAAAAAGTATAATAATTAGAGATTCAATTTTTTTCCCCATTATCCCCAAGTCCATAAATAACATTTCTATGCAGTGTAAAAAGTTGTTTATAGCATTTCATTGTGTTTTTTCAATACATTTTTGTTAAATTGATTTTCCGTTTGATTTTTGTCTTTGTCTTTATGATTCCATAATTTTTATATAATTCATATGACAGCTTTACAATATGAATATTCTAAAACCCCAGGTTGTACTGAAAAAAACAAAGTATACTGCTTGACTCTGCATCAAAAGATGACTGTTTTATGAACAATTATACACAAAGAAAACCAGGCGAGGAAAGTTCCCCAAAATGAACCATGTGCATACGCTCAATTTTGTTTGAACTTCAGTCACATCTTTAGATCTGCTTTTTCAGACATATCCCATCATCCCAAAGAGTCAAATGGAGACTCACAGGCCTCTTTCAAACATGTTTTAATCAAATAAGCGGTTAGTGGTCGATTTTAGTTCACATCTTGGTATAATGGGTTAGGGTTATACAAATCATGTCACCTTTTTCTGAACGAAAAACATTTGAGTTATTAATACAACGGACATGAAGCCCAGAGGGTTATCCATTTGAAAATCAGAGTCCCTTATATGGTTTGTGTGGTGGGGGGCTTTGAGATGGTGATCGGTGATTGGCCTGAGCCCCTTTATTGGGCGCCACCTCACAGCGAATGGACCCTGACGAGGAGCATGTGTCTATTATGGGGTCCGTGCCATAGAACAGAATCCAAGACCCACAGAAAGCAGCACAAAGGGTTTGCCCACAGCTTTCAGAACCTTGTGAGACTAAAGACTATCAGAGTCCCAAATGAGGGACTCTGTTCTGATTATTATCCTCCACCATCACTGTCCCACCCGCCGCCTCAGATCCACAGACTCCAACCGCCTCACTCCAATCAGAACAAAGTGCCAAGCCTTTGCTGCAGCTGCCCCCACTCTCTGGAACTCACTCCCACCACACATTAGGAACTTCAAATCACTTCTCAAAACCCACCTGTTCAAAACTGTCTACACTTAACTGTTTATTTTTTCTCTGTAAAGCGTAATTGAGTGTCCAAAAAAGCGCTAAATAAGTACAATGTATTATTAATATTATGCGCTGTGAAAAACTGCTATCCAGAGAATGAACTGGTGTTACATTGTGATGCATAAACAGGTTTGGGGGCAGCACGCCTCCAGAACGGTAATCTCGTTGCATTTTCTGACATAACTCTCATAAGCAGAACAAGGATATGCCCTTATTGAGGAAGAGTGTGTTGCTATGGTTTCCAGTGTAGAGAACTTTCATCAGTATATGGACATAAAGTTACTGTTCAATCTGACCATAAGACAGTGCAGACCATAGTACAGGGCCTTCTCTGTGGTCTTCAACCCGGGGGACAGGGTCTTCTCTGTGGTCAGCCGGCAGACCAAATGTGTTGCTTTTATCTCTGCAGCACAAACCTGTTTTATAAAATGTGCTATATAATTAAAGTAGATTGAATTGCTTATACGTTTGACAAACTGTTTCCATTAAATACACAACTGACTTGTTTGACATGAAGTGTGCTGTGACTGGAAACTCCTCCTCTGCAGGGCTCATGGTAAACCAGCATGTTTCAGAACCATCACAGAAGAGCACGCAGGTGAGAGCCTTTTCAATATGACCCAAAAGTGATTTAAGTATTTTAACATTGTTTAAGAAAGTTTTCAAAGTTATTTCATCTTGAGACATTCGTATTACTGGAACCAAATCTAGTGAATAGTGATCTAATAAAGGAATGACAGAATGGTCGCTGTGTGGTTAGCACTCTTGCTTCTCAGAAAGTAGGTCCTGATTTTGAATCCCGGTCGCAAAAGGTCCTTTCTAAGTGGAGTTTGCATGTTCTCCCTGTGTCTGCAAAGGCTTCCTCTGACTTCCCCAGTTTCCCCTACGACTAAAACATGTTCAAGACGTCAAATTCTCCAGCTCTGGCCCTGACAAGCCGAGCGTCAACATCTGGAGATGGATCCCCGGACACTGTACGGCGGCCGCTGCTCCTGACAGAGGGCAGGTGTCTCTAACCTTTTTCAATCGGAGAGCTACTTTCATACAACAAAACAGGCTAGAGAGAGCTATTCCTTTTTGCGGGGGTAATATAAAATCTATGTAATAATTGTACAATTGTAATTGTAATGTAACAAAACATAAGGGAACACATAAATACAGTATACCATAAAACTGTAAAAACCTATATTTATCCTTATAATAGATATGTAATGACTACAAATTAAAATAGATAATTTGTTGAATTCTAAAGCCTTTGGGGGGCTACCTGAAAGGGGCTGGCGAGCTACTGGTAGCTTCAAGCCACAGGTTGGAGACCCCTGCTCCAGAGGGCAAATTAAGATGGACAGATTCAGAAAGCCTTTATTCGTCGCACAGTGGAGAATTGTCAGTATTGCTTCACCAGTTAAATTAGCAATACTGAAAGCTCTTACTTAATAAGGAAGCAATCTTAAATCCCCAACTTTAGCATAATGAAGAAGTAAGAATTAAGAACAAAATCTCTCACTTTGGCATAATAAAGAAGCAAGTATGCTGCTGTGACCTGAAGGACTGTTGCATTTTCTTATTACTATTGTTAGCTTTTTAGAATGTATTTGTTTTGTTTGTTTGGATGGATGTGTTTTTGCTATTACTGGACACCTGCATTTCTCCTATGGGATCAATGAAGTATCTTTTAATCTATCATCTATCTATCTATATCTGTCTATATCCATCTATGTACACTATCATCTATTTAATCTATCTACTGTAAGTAAGTAGATAGATTTTTATTTATATACCGCCTTTCGCAGACCACAGTCACAAAGCACTTTACATTTGTGGGCATTTGTCTCTCACTACACAAAAAGGTTGGAGCGGGGTCGCCAGTACAGGAGTCGCATGCCAGACCTATTGAACATGATTTTAGTGGTAGGGGTAACCAGAGCACCTGGAGGAAACCTACACAGACACGAGGTGAACATGCAAACTCCACTCAGAAAGGCCCTGTTCTGACCAGGATTCGAACCCAGGACCTTCTTGCTGAGAAGCGCGAGTGCTTAAATGATGACAAAGAAATACAGTACAAAGGCATTACTGTAGGCTAATTTATTTACACAATTCCTCTACAGATTGCTTTTCTGTCCGTCCTTAGGTTTTGAAGCATGAACATCACAAACGAGAGCTGCCTGCCCTCGGCTCAGCACCCGTCCATCCCCGCGCTCGTGTGCGTGGTGTTCTCCGTGGGTTTCCTTCTGAACGTCTTCAGCCTGTGGGTGTTCTGCTGCCGCCTGTCGTCCTGGAGCGCCGGGACCGTGCTGCAGTTCAACCTGGCCCTCAGCGACGCCCTGGCCACGCCCGTCACCCCGCTCATCGCCGCCTACTTCCTCAACGGCCACGACTGGGCTTTCGGTCGCTTCCTGTGCCAGGTCAAGATCGCTCTGATGTCCTCCCATTTCTACGGCAGCACCACGTTCCTCACTCTGATCAGCGTCCATCGGTACAAAGCCGTGGTGCGTTTCAACCAGAGCAGCCGGATGAAGAACAAAAGTTTCATCAAGAAGATTTGTGTCGGAGTTTGGCTTCTACTTTTAGCACAATCTCTGGTTTATAGTTTTGTCGTGCCCCCAACAAAAGTAAACAATCGCGTTCAGTGTCTCAGCTTCAGCCAAAGGACTCTGTCGAACTCTATGTTTGTCATAAACTTTGTTCTCTTTCTGTTCGGTTTCCTACTTCCTCTCGGTATTTCCAGCGTTTGCTACTCCCGTGTCACGACAACCCTATTTCGCTTAAACACCAGCACCGCAAAGGGCCTGAAGGTCAAGCTCAAATCTCAAAGCATGATCCGAATGTGTATCGTCATTTTCTGCATGTGTTATCTTCCCATGAACGTGAGCCGGACGGCAGCGGCAGTACTGACCAAATACTTTCCCCACGTCTGCGTCGCTGTCCGCCGTGTGCAGACCGCCTACTACGCCTCGTGGATTCTAGCTGGACTGAACTGCTGCATGGATCCTCTGCTCTACTGCTTTGGATCGCAGAAGTTTAGAGAGGCCTTTCCTTCATTTAGGCAGAGGCAAACAGAAAACCAGCAAAGTGAATCAGAAACAAATTTATAAAATGCTGTTAACAAGCTATTATTTTTTTGGTTAAGGTTACTCACTGCCCTCTCTCACCTGGCTCATTCTGCTCTGTGTTTAACGTACTGCACTATACTTACTTACATAACCACAATAGAATTAAATAATGATAATCAAATAGAAACGGTATTGACAATAAGATCACTGGTGTTTAATGTGCCTAATGTGAAAATGACAATGAAAGTTTTACTTCTACCTGCTCCTTTTCGAATGTTTTGGTTATTCCGTTTTGTTTTGTACAATGAATTAATAGTTTGAAAAAGACTGCAACAACCTCAAGTACTTTTTCAAGTTATTGTTTAATTTTCACACCAGCCACAGAATGTGTAGGACGCTATTTTGTCTTATGTTGTCCTGTGTCCTGTGTCCTGTGTCCTGTGTCCTGTGTCCTGTGTCCTGTGTCCTGTGTCCTGTGTCCTGTGTCCTGTGTCCTGTGTCCTGTGTCCTGTGTCCTGTGTCCTGTGTGAGCTCGATGTATTGAACACTTGAACACACTTGTCCTTTTCACAATAGTTTATCAAATACATTCAAACGCTGGTTTTGAGAAATGATCCATAAAGATGTTTAATTCTGAAGACCTCCAACCTAAGTTGTTATGTTCCATTGAACATGATATAAATTGGATTTGGATAAAGCAGACTTCCGACCATGCTATCTCTGTTTGCTTCTCTGATCTGTTGTGAAGGAACGGATAACTTTGCAAAAATATCTGTAACGACAGCTGATTTAGGACTATACAAAAATAAATTAAAATGAATTGGCACAACACACGCCCAAGATATGTTCATCAGTGGTTAACTATTTTAACTAACACTGCTCACCGATGGTTCAGGAGGGCCCCAAGTCTGATCAGACCAGTCTAAGAGAAAGCAACATAGACTCACTCCTAAAGAATATTTATTATACAATCAATATCTCCATGAGGCTGGCTGGGCAGAAGCTGCTGGGGTCAGATGCAGCTGGCTGATGTGAAACTGCTCTCACTTCTGTATGAAACTTATGAAACATGTGGATATGGTGCTGAGAGGAAGTCATTATTTACTGTATTAATATTATTTATCAGATTCAGGCCCTGAATAGAGAACCAGGTAAAAGATATTTTTAAATATGTTCATCTTGGTCCCAATTGATAAACTACAAAACATATGGATTATACTATTTTATTAGTGGCTTCAACTGCCTCCGGATACTAACTAACAGATCACTCAAAGGTAAAATTAATAAAAATAGGCTGAAACAGATATACTTGATTTTAAAATATAATCACCAAAATAGATATTTAACCAAACAGGAAGCATTGGAGGCACCATATGTGATGATGTTCGGGTTAGGGTCGCAAATCTTTATTGTAATTTTTCTGGGACGGTTTGATTTTCAAATGTTCTAACAGAGATACCAAATGAATCCGTAGTGTTCATTGAGCCAAGCCTGTCTGAGTGTAGCCTGGCGGTCAGGGCCTTGTATTGTAGATTTAATTTTTTTATTGAAGGAAAATAAAAATGCTAAAAATAAATTCAATATACAATCAAACTTAAATGGACAATGACGTACCACAGAAGGATAGTGTAAGACCTGTGGGGGCGTAGCCAGGATTGTTACTGGAGAAAAAAAATAAAAGACAAAAATTTTGAAGCACAGAACAAAAGTCCAAACAGGATTTAAATTGGGGGATGTTTAAAATAGTGTATTGCTCAGGGACTACAGGTGCACTACATTAGCACTGCTGCTACATTATGGTACCACCCTAACCCTACACTGTCCCTGTGAAAATAAAAATCATACCATACCAGTCATACCAGATTGATTTCGTTTTGGAATATTTGGAAGACAGATTGGTTTTCTTTTTCAACATTTTGACTTATGTATGTGGAATTTGACAGATGAGTAGTAGTATTTAGGGTTGTATCTGTTAAGAATAACAAAAATAAAGAGCATTTCCTGAAAACTGAAAGTGATGTCGGGGATGAGTTTTTTTTTCTGACGTGGGTGAAGTTTTTCCAGAGGGTGGCGCTAGTGGGACATGTCCAGAAGAGGTGAGTGAGTGACCGTGTAGCACAGTAGCACAGAGAAGAAGCCTGTCTCACATTTTCAGAAAGACTGTTTTATATTGTAGCTGCATAAATCTGAAATGTTGCCTCCTGCCAGTCCCTATGCTCCTCAGAGTCCCAGGTTGTTGTCGCAAATCTTTTTTATGTTTTTATTAACAATTACGGACATTACAATACATGACATAACAAACAGACAATAATGACAGAATGACGTATTTCAAAGAAAGTTTCAAAGTATATTAACAGAAAAAGCACCTGCATTAAACATATTGATTCAGAATTTGTTCAATTTGGTATTTTTCGAGCATTGATGTGGTTATTATGGCTTTTTTATTAGTAAGAGGTAAATTGTTTATTTGTTAATGCTCTGCATAAGGTAATGGGAGACGTGGGTCTTTCCATTTTTTTATTTTTTTTGAGTGTGGTTTATTTTATTCACGTTTTTTTATTTATGTTTTATTTTCTTACAAAAGACAAAGTGAGTATTGAGAAGACAAAGCATATGGGTAAAATACAGTAACTGAGACAAATCTGCCTTGTCTCCTCTGTGCCCGGTGACGTCATGGCGGAGGGCGGGGCTAGCGTGCGTATAGGTGCTGGCTGTAGTCTCACGTACAGGTGTCCCTCGGCTCTTTGAGGCAGCGTCATTCGGGAGCACAGGAACCACAGGGATCGCACCATGGGGAAGCTCCAGGAGTTTGAGATCACTTTTGAGGGCAACAAGGTGGTATACAGCCCGGGAGAGAGCATCTCTGGCTCCGTGAGGATCAAAGTGGCCCAGGCGCTCCCGTGCAAAGGTACAACACAAACGGAAACTATGGACTGTCGCAACCAGGAAGTGGCTGCACTCAAGCCATGGATCTAGAATAATATGAGCGCAGACAAAACTCTGAAAGGTCCACTTAAACCGGCCCTAGCTCCAGGTTTGGTCAAGGGAATTTCTTAATTTTATTTTTCTTATATTTTTTAATGATAAAAAAAAAAAAAAAAAAAAAAAAAACTAATGGCAGATGACAATGATTATTTCAAACAAAAAAGATGCCTCAACTAAAAAACAAAAACAAAAAAAATGTCCTCTGTGACCAACAAAAATCATACAGGCATCAATCAATATAAAAAAACCAGAGTATCCAACAGACCAGATATAGACAGACAAGACACAGACAGAGACAAAGACAGACTGCCTGTGTCTTGTCTGTCGCTCAAGGCAATTTCAACACCTTTCTGAGACGTTTGAAACTCTTGTAGAATCTGTCAATGTCAACAATAAGGAATAATGTATTTTATGATTTGGATGCATTCCAAGACTCAATGTGCCAATAAAAATGTATTTAAAAGCCCAAACAAAACTAATATTGCATTTGTTTACGCTCATATTTATGTAAGTAAGCCATTTTGAGGAAGACAATTAAATCTCGCTAAAGCAAAACCGACGTGGAGCATAGACTAGTTACATATACATGAATATAAATTATTGGAGTACCTTTTGTGTAAACTAGAAGCTTGGAAAAACTGTCTGGTGTAGTTACATTCGCCCTTCTCTATTCTCTATTGATGTATCTACTTGTTTTTTTCTTGAGTAGGTAATAACACTTTATCAATTTAATATAAAGGTTTAGCGTACATTGTGGCACCAGCGAGTGAATCTTTAGCCTAAACAAACCAATATAATTTTCACTTAAATTTTTTCAACTTAAGATGGCCAATAATGGAACATTTAACAGAATTTTGGTTCACTGGAAATGTAATAATATTAATAATCATGATAACTCATTTAGAAAAATAAAACCGTCACTTGCTTTCCCTTTTTTATAAACATGAAATATGATCGGGATTCCAGCATAAAGGCCTGTTTACAGTCAACTCTGCGTTAGGGGCTGAAGTTGCATGTTCTCCTCGGGCTGGTTCTTTCAGTAATGCTCTGTTGTTTGCTGCTCGATACTGTGAGAGAATGTGGAAAAAGCTGCTGGTAACGCGCTGCATCATGTTGCACTGTGCTCTGTGATCCCGTGATCCCATCTGTCAAGGGAACAAAAGACAGCGTTTGTCTGACATCCAGTACAGACCTGGGCAAAGTACGGCCCGGGTTCCACATGTGGCCCTATTCATGTTTCTATGTGGCCCTCTGACCTTTTCCCATTTAAATGACTATTCGATGAAATTTTGCGACGTTGTGAGTGTGATGGCTTATTATACCTCATCATAATTAATCAAAAACGTCAATCTGTCCACAATACATAGCCTTTTTTAACTTAATCCAGCATTGGTTCAATCCAAGCAAGAATTCAAATCTAAGACAACTGAACAAGTAGAATCCATATTTATTCAAATAAAAGAAATAACGTCAAACTGTGTCCCATATTGTACAAGGTAAACAAACAAAAATATAGCTGCAGATGCAAAACCACAGCTAACACAATACAATACAATACAATGCAATACAATCTTTGTATTTCTTTGAGTAAGAGGGGATTATATAAAAATACAGCAGATAAAGGCCAGCAACGTCAGGGAGACCCACAATGAGAGGAGATCCGCTCTAACGATAGGACAAGCCATATGTCTGGGACAGAGCCGGGTCTGAGGCTGTGGGTCCGGGACTGTTTTAGAAGATGGAAAAAGCGTGTCAAAGGATCAAAATGTTGAAGTTGGAAAATCTAAAATAAACTTATTTTATTTCACTCTTTTTGAATAGAAAATAAGCAGTAGACATTGTGGCCATACCTGCATGTGAAAGCCATCTATATGACGGGATCATACCTCTTGAAGCTAAGCTGAGTAGGTCCTGGTTAGTGCTGTGATGGGAGACTTGTGGGAACACCAGGTGCCACGGTGAGGTGGCTGCGCCTGTAAAGTGGCACACTGTTGCTGTGTCCTTAGGCAAGACCCTTGCAGACCCTGGCACATGGTGGTTGCCAGTCAGGCTGTCAGTGTGCCCCAGGGCAGCTGTGGCTACAGTAGTAGTTGATCTGTGTATGGAGTGAAAGAATAATGACGACGATGAAGTCTTTGGTTTTACAATGTACTGTTTTGGACACTCAATTATATATTATTATTACTAGTTTAGTTTTGACCTTTGAACTTTATGCATATTTGTAGCCGAGGTCGCTAAGGTTACAGGCAGCCTTTGTAGTTGTCCTGAATAGTTCCCCGTGTATGCAGCTCCTGTCTTGCCTCTGCTCACGTCTTTCTTTCTGCCACTGCTCTCGGCCTCCGGTTTGTTTACATTCCACTTCCAATAAAGCTGGTCCTGTCTAAAGGCCTCACGACTGCTCTTCCCAACAATAGCTCGGTTTACCACTTTAGAAGGAGACGATAAGAACCAGGGCAGTATCAACGAGCAAGTGTTGACCCAGATCATTTATAGGGAGCTCTCTGCTGTTCTTGTGGCGTGATGGGAGTGGGAAAGCATTCAAAGGGAAAGTTAATATGTAAATGAATTGCTGTCGTCATCTCGCCTCGACCCAACCCAAAGTATAACTATTTCAAGACTGATCCTGAAACTCTTTGTCTGATTGAATACATGTGAAACTTGTGGAATACTATTCAAAAGTTAATTTATGTTTGTAATTCTACTTATAATATTGTAACAAATATGAGATTCATTTAGGGCTGAAACAACTAATCGATTAATCGACGACTAATCGATTATTGAAATAGTCGACAACTATTTTAGTAATCTTTTTAACTTTTTTCTGGTTCACACGGACTCAAACAGAGCAAAAATGACATGAAAATGTAGTATTTTTGATTAAAACAGACTTTGTTTTTATAATTTAATGAATATCTGTCTGTCTCATCCAATCAGATAGCAGAATTAGCACAAAGAGCCTGTTACAAACATTTACTTTAAGTTTACGCCATCAATACGTCCTCGAGTGTTGCCACTTTAGCTTTTTGTGATGAAAAAATATTTTTTTTCTACACAATTCACAGCCAAGCGATTACTCGATTAATCGTAAAAATAATTGATAAATTAATCGATTTACAAAATAATCGTTAGTTGCAGCTCTAGATTCATTACATGTAAAGTGATCTAAGCCAAGCCTTTGTTTTGAAGATCATTTTCTGTTTATTCTATTTGGGCTTTTCACAAGCGGTGATCCCATGAGCACAAGACAAAACCAGCTGTAACTCGAGTGTACTATATGAAACATTCAGTAAGTAACCGCTAACTGAACAAAAGATAAAAGTTGAGTTACTATTAATTTGAAAATACAATGGACATGATGTCATAATTTTTTTTTCTTTTTTTGATTTTTAAGGCCGATTATCCAATCGGTGAGCAGAAAGAGAACCTTGTTTGGGCTGCCAGTTTGTTAAGTGAAATTTACCTGTGTTTGGCAGGTGGGGGTCAGTCTGAGGAGCTATTTGTGGGACAGGCAGAAGGCAAAAATGTGACTGTAATTGTAGTGACTTTAAAAGACCGTACAGTCCTTTTTTGAAGTCTTCTCACCACACCCATGGTGGACACAAACTGTTAACTTCCTTGTTGGCATCGACCATGTTGTTAGCTCTTCCTTACCATTTTCACTAATATTTTTCTCCGCCTCCACATTTGTCACTTGAGCCATGAAAGTAAAGGGTGATTTCAGATGAATCACTCGTGCCTGTTTCAACACATTTAATTTCTGATTCATAATGCAAATCCCAATTTACTGGTCGCATGGAAAGCTTGCTTGGGGTTGGCCTTGGCCTGTGTGTGCACTCTACACAAACACTGTTTTTTTTGCACCATCTAAAAGTTCAACCAAAAATACAAAACTCCTGTGTATATGTTTTGCAGACCCACCTGTATCATACATGGCTCACTGAAGCAGATTTAGACAGATTTGGGAACAATTATACTTTGCTGAGACAATCCATCCCACCTTTAAACATCTGAAAAGGTCCTAATTAGACGGCATACATTTTTTGCCAAGGGTAGAAAATGGATGGACATTTTTGCCTTTCTTTGGGGGTTCTGAGATTTCGTTTGTCTGATGTGACTTTGTTCACCTCTCGCAGTTTAAGAGACTAACCAAGCCGCACAAGTTGTAAATTAAACCTGTGGCTATTTAAAAACTAAACATGCATATAAAAAAGAATATTAAAGTTTAAATGATTGTGCTATGGCAGGGTTCCCCAACTAAATTGACAAGTGGTCCACTTGATCAGCTCAGTAGACGAGTCCGGGCGTCATACAACCAGAGAAAGGTTTTGTGACCTCAACAACTTAAAGAGTGTAATACACAGTGCATAATCATAAGTCTTATACGTACTATATTAATTAGAGAGTGAGAAACATGTTTGGAAACAAAGTCCCATAAAATAAGTTTCCATAGCCACAGTTGCCACGATGACCATTGCCATGTCAACCATCACTATGGCAACTACCCTAGCAACTATCACTATGGTTACAGTTATTTTCCTGGCTCAATTTATGTGTTCTGCACTCGCAACATTTTGGCCCTCCCAAAAATTTTTCTGAATTTTTTTTTTTTTTTTTTACATAATGTTCACAGAGGTCTAGAGAAAATGCTCTTGAGGTCCAGGCCTGGACCCTGGTTCGCCAGTTGGGTACCCCTGTGTTATGGGGTAGTGATGAAAAAATGGAATCTTCTAATTAAATGTATGTAATGTCTAATATGTTTTTGTCTTTCCCAGCTATTAAAGTAAACTGCAACGGCTTCTGCGGCATCACGACCAAAGTGAATGACACGGCGTGGACCACAGAGGAGCAGTACTTCAACACCACTGTCTCTGTGGCAGACAAAGGTACCTATGCACACCGAGTGGTCTGAGTCTGCATGTACACTGAGACGAGAGAGCTCTGCATGTACACTGAGACGAGAGAGGTTTGTGGAAAAGCCCAGCTGTGTAATGTAGTCCATAGAAAGGCAGAGAATGAAAGCAGAACTCTCACTGTTCCTAACACCTGTGTCGTTGGTTAAATAACAATCACAGTGGAGGCTGTCTGTTTTCTGATGGGAAAATTGGCTCCTCCCATTATTGCATCGGGATTTCTATCCATCCATACTTTTCATAATTTTCAGATTGTTGCAGCCACACTGATGGTTATATGTGTAATTCACATTTAATTTATGTTGTGGAATTGTATTTTGGGAGGCGCCAATACAAGTCTAATGTGAAAGAAGCAATTTTTGAAAGAAAAATGTTTTCCCAGATACATTTTTGATAGCAATTAGATTCACAAAACTGCTTTATTATTCTTTTACAATTAAGAAAACTATATAATAATTATAGTTTATTTGTACTGTCAAAGCAGTTGAATTAGCTGTGGAATTGGTGAAATTGGTTCTGAACTAAGTCAGTCGTATGTAAACCAGTCCTGCACTTCCCCGTATCATCTATGCTGTTCACATAAACTCATAGGAAAGGGTTAGGGTTAATGTGTGGTACGTCATCAGGTGAATAAAAATACACGTTGGCCACATCACTAAATACTTTTACTAAATGAGGTAATAATTGATTACGATTCAAGATGGCGCCTCGTACGGTCGACATGGCTCTTTGCTGCTCTCTTTTTCTTTTGTTTTTACTTTTTAACTGTGCATCTGGCTGTTCCTACACCCGTGAGGAACTTATGAACATCCGACCCACCGTTCCCATGGACCTATTGCCTGTTTTCTTGGCATCTGCGGCTGATTTAGTTCATGTTCTAGCCAAAAAAGTGTGGGCCCGTAAAAGGGGAAAGCGAGGAGGCCTGCTGCTCGTGCGTCTTAGGAGGAGAGGAGCGCGCACGGCTCTCCCCGGCATTTTTCTCTCCAACGTACGCTCACTGGGCAATAAGATGGACGAACTCAGCCTGCTCATGAGAAGAAACAAGGACTTCGCCACATCCTGTGTCCTCTGCTTCACTGAGACCTGGCTAAATGAGCGGATCCCGGACTGCGCTCTGGAGCTGCAGGGCTTTGGGCTGTTTCGCGCGGATCGCCATTGTGCGCTCTCAGGGAAGAGCAGAGGCGGAGGGCTCTGTTTCTACGTCAATACAAACTGGTGTAACGATGTGACAGTGATCTCCAAGCACTGCTCTCCTGCTCTGGAATATCTTTTCATTCATTGTAAACCATATTACTCCCCGCGGGAAATTGTTTCATTCATTCTTGCCTCTGTTTACATACCGCCATGCGCGGACGCGCGCGAGGCTCAGCGCGCACTCGCAGAGCAAGTACTGTGTATGGAACGCTTATACCCGGACTCTCTGATTATTATCCTGGGGGATTTTAATAAGGGAAACTTGAGCCAGGAATTACCCAAATACAGACAGTTTATCAAATGCCCGACCAGAGAGGAGAACACTTTGGATCACTGTTACACCACCGTGCGCGGAGCTTTTCGCGCTGTTCCCAAGCCAGCCCTCGGCTTCTCAGATCACTCCATGATACATCTGGTTCCTGCTTACAGACAGAGACTAAAGCTCTCGAAACCTGCAGTGAGGAGCCCCAAAGTGTGGTCTGATGAAGCTGTGGAAGAGCTGCGCGCATGCATGGAATCTACAGACTGGGACCTTTTCAGAGCTGCCACAGATAGTTTGGATGAATATACGGACACTGTAACGTCATACATCCACTTCTGTGAGGATAGCATCATTCCAACAAGGACCAGGGTCATCTATAACAACGACAAACCCTGGTTCACTGCTAAACTCCGGCAGCTCAGGAAAGCAAAGGAGTCTGCTTTCAGGGAGGGGGACCGCAGCGGCTACAAAGCAGCTAAATATCAGTTCAGGAAAGAACTGAAAGCAGCCAAGTCCCGGCACAGAGAACGACTACAGGAGCAGTTTGGTAACAACGATACTGCTTCTGTCTGGAGGGGCCTACGGGAGATCACCAACTACAAACCCAAAGCCCCCCCCTGTGCTGATGACCACAAGCTAGCTGACGATCTGAACTTATTTTTCAGTCGCTTTGATGCTGCCCCTGACACCTCTCCCTCCCCCACCCCCCACTACTCTAACGACCCACCCATCAGCCCTGCCCCCAGCCTAACAATAGCCGCTAAAGAGATTAAACAACTCTTCCTGAGGCTGCACCCCCGCAAAGCTCCTGGCCCGGACCACGTGTCTCCGGCCACTCTGAGACACTGCGCCAGTGAGCTTACTCCTGTGTTCACGGACATTTTCAACTCCTCTCTGCAGTCCTGCCATGTCCCGGCCTGCTTCAAATCCTCCATCATTGTCCCCGTCCCGAAGAAGCCCAGGATCACAGGACTCAATGACTACAGACCTGTAGCACTTACGTCTGTCGTCATGAAGTCATTTGAACGCCTGGTTCTCTCCCATCTCAAGTCCCTCACCTTCCCCCTCCTGGACCCCCTGCAGTTCGCCTACAGAGCCAACAGATCTGTAGACGACGCCATTAACCTGGCCCTCCACCACATCCTACAGCACCTGGACTCCCCGGGGACCTACGCCAGGGTCCTGTTCGTGGACTTCAGCTCTGCCTTCAACACAATCCTGCCATCCCTGCTCCAGGACAAGCTCTCCCAGCTCAACGTGCCCGATTCCACCTGCAGGTGGATCACTGACTTCCTGACGGACAGGAAGCAGCGAGTGCGTCTGGGGAAGAATGTCTCGGACTCTCGGATTATAAATACAGGAGCCCCACAGGGCTGTGTTCTTTCTCCCCTGCTCTTCTCCCTGTACACCAACCACTGCACCTCCAGCCACGACTCCGTGAAGCTGATCAAGTTCGCGGACGACACCACCCTCATTGGACTCATCTCCAACAACGATGAGTCCGCCTACAGGAGGGAGGTGGACCGGCTGGTGTCCTGGTGCAGTGGTAACAACCTGGAGCTGAACGCCCAGAAGACAGTGGAGATGATTGTGGACTTCAGGAAGAGCACTGTCCCCCCGCCCCCACCCTCCGTGATGGACTCCCCCATCACCTCTGTGGAGTCCTTCCGTTTCCTGGGCACCACCATCACCCAGGACCTCAAGTGGGAGCCGACCATCAGCTCTCTCATCAAGAAGGCCCAGCAGAGGATGTACTTCCTGCGGCAGCTCAGGAAAGCCAAGCTGCCTGCACAGATGTTGGTGCAGTTCTACACGGCCATCATCGAGTCCATCCTCACCTCCTCCATCACCGTGTGGTTCGCTGGAGCCACAGTCAGGGACAAACAGAGACTACAGCGCATTGTGCGCTCTGCAGAGGAAGTGATCGGCCGCAGCCTTCCATCGCTGCAGGACCTGTACGTCGCCCGAGCTCGAGGCCGGGCTGGTCGTATCACAGCCGACCCCTCTCACCCTGCACATGGACTATTCCAACCACTCCCCTCAGGCAGGAGGCTGCGGTCCATCAGGACTAGAACCTCCCGCCACAAGAACAGTTTCTTCCCCTCTGCTGTTGGACTCTTGAACACTTCTTAACCTGTCCCCCCGCCCTTTATAAAGTCACTTTACTGCCCATCATACGTCACTTTACTTCACTGTACTGCTGTCACCTTACATTGTGTGCACCATGTGCACTTGTATATTGTAAATAGTAACTGTAACTCTATTTTAAATTTAAATTTATTCTTTAGAAGTGTTTTTTATTCTTATTTTTATTATCTCTTTTTGACTGTTGCACTGAGCCAAAGCAATTTCCAAGTCTGTGACCTCCCGTTACTTACGTTGGCAATAAAAATGATTCTGATTCTGATTCTGAATTGCTCAATGTCCATCCATCCATCCATCCATCCATTTTCTACCCTTTAATCCATTTCTGGGTCAGGGGGGTGGCAGTCAGAGATGCCACCCAAGTCTCATAGCACCAGCCCCTCACTGATCCTCTGCAGGTGGTGAGTCCACAGGAGGACGGCTGCTCTCTGAGTGTGAGCATAGCCTTGATCTTTCAGTGGGGGCTTTGGGCAAAGTGGGGTTAAGTGTCTTGGAAATTAATGTTTTTATTTTATTTTAATTTGAGTATATTTAGTCTTATTCAAAGAGCTGTTGCTTTATTTTCTCATTTCATGGGAGATATTTATTGTATCTTTTTAAAACAATTAAATTTTGCTTGTACCATTGACAAATCTTGCTTTAAGGTAGAATGTGAAGGACACAGAATACAAAGAACTTGAAAAAAAGTAGCATAGTCCGACTGTACTGTAACGTGTATTGATCACACATGGGGTGTAGATACTGTGTGAATAAGCCTTCATAATGAACAGTGTTTGGAGTCAGTGATGTTGTTCCCGGCCTCTGGGCCAGGGACCTCTCTGCTGTGAGCCTTTGTCCCAGAGCTGGTCCCATGTTTCCTGCGGCTGATGCTAATCTTATCCCCACAGGAACACTGAAGCCCGGAGAACACACGTTTCCCTTCAAGTTTCTAATACCAGGTAAGAGGAGCAGAGCCGTGATGTTATAGACCACTAGGAACAAGACGCACGTTTTTTACAAGGTTTCAACATTTTTCTATTTAGTCTAGAACGGACCTAGAGTTTTAGCTTCATACACCACCTAGCTTTAGCTTCATAGACCACCCCCTGGCCCTTCTGCCTAAATTACCTGTTGTCAAACTGATTGATGTCATGCACAAAGCCGCCCTCTGTCCATAAAGCCATGGTTTTGTTTTCTACTGTCTTGACAAATACCACATCACATTTCTTTAAATTGCCATATGTAAATCACACCTGTCACCTCTATACTGTTGTGATTTAGGGCTACACAAACGTAAAATCAAATTGTAGTTATCGAGGAGGACTTTACAAAACCGTCAAAATCGCCGCCACAGATCAGGGAATCAAACGGTTAAAACATCTTTCTTTTATTCTTTATTGATCACGTTTTTCCATCTATTATCAACGTTTCCGATGTGGTGGAGGAGGGCAGGACCAGGAGTTCCTTACATTTCTCACTGATCCGAGGTCAGACATGTCGGGACTTGTCTGTGTGTTTACCCTGTTGTTAGTCCAGACCAAAGGAAGTCATTCATCCATAACACGACAACACAACACTGGTTTATGTGGGATTATTCTGGATTTCAGATTACACAAAGTTTGGATAAAGTTGGAAAAAGGGGCCATAGAAAACATCCTCTACTGGTCAACAAAATATTATATAAATATATGTATAACTTTGAGCAGGGCACTACATATATAACATTATTCAACATTCCTTTTTGATCTTTTAACAATATTCCAAAAAGAGCAGATTTTTAAAGAACAAATAAATGGAAATAATGGACCACATCAAATCCATTTTAAAAACACAATTTGGCCCATCCGATCCATTTGTAGCCCAGGTATATTAGTTTTTAAATGTAGGGATACTATTTTGTGTGAAGCCAGAGAAACGGACAACTTTGGGAACAATGTATTTTGTGATTTGGAAAAGGTCACTGGAATAACACTTGTAGAACTGTTTTGAGCTTTTTTGCTAACAGACAAACTAATGGACTTGATGTGATTCCAATGAGAGTCGGGCGTGACTCTTGGATGTGCAGTGTCATGGTTCTGTCTTTGCATTCCCTGTCACACTGATGTCATTCATAAGTCTGGTGATTCAGTAACTCTGCCCAGGAGGGAAATTCATTACCGGCATTTGAACTTTTTTTCTTGTGAACAATGTAACTCCAAAAGCTGTGGGAAGATTTGGACGTAAGTTTCAGGAAAAGTGTCCAATGGCCCAGAGAAGCATATAAATGACTGTCTGGATGGGATTCATGTGGTGCATGTGGATTTTGTTTAGAAATGGAACCCCCACATCTCTACGGAGGTCTTTTCTATCTTATTATTTACAGTGGCAAATGTATGATTACCTGCTTCAGCTGTTAATGGATTCTATAGTTTTAAAAGTTTTTGTACTGTATCTCCGGCATGTGTGAAAGTAGAGCTGTGAGAGCCTTTTGAGCCAGGAAGTTTGGACAACCCTTACCAGACTAGTCCAGGGCCCGACATCACGGACTGAAAAACTATCTTGACTGGCATCGAGCTGTTCTGAGATTTATGATGATCTATGTTACAGCCCGGCTCGGTGGCTGCAACAAAGGAAAAAGGGGGAACGACACCACAACCAGATTTTAAGCCTGTTGGCATTTATTTACAAATTATAATAATAATAATATATTACTGCGGTCAGTGTAAGTGTAATATGAGTGGCTGCGTGTAATGCAAGTAAAATCAGTAGGATAACCTTTTGTGTAAATGTACATGTTGGGTGCAAGTGCGTGTAAAATCGAATCATACGAAAAACCGAATGGCGTTGGCCTGACACGTCTGTCCCAGAACGTGGTCGGGACCAGTGTGTCGAGGGCTGGAGGGAGAGAGAGCCATCAGCACACCTGCTCTGCTTTTGGGTGGACCGCCAGCCAATCAGGGCCAAGCTGAAAGATCATGGGAGAAGGAGAGAAAGCTTACGCTGGGGCACGTAACAATCTATAACAGCTGAAGTTGGCTGAATGATTTTTTTTTTACCATCTCACCAGCTACATTAGCACCATTAGCAGAAGTGACAAAATCAAAAACCACGTTGGTAAAGTATGTGCAAATAAAGTCAACAACGTACTGGGCTTTTGAATAAGTTCTATATTGGCTGAGCTGAAGTTGGATGGATGACTAAGTGAACTTGATCTCAAAGACTACTTTGGGTTAGCATGGCAGAGGGCCACATAAAGACACTGAGGACCACAAGGACCTGAGTTTGGACCTGAGTTTGGACATGCCTGTTTTAAGCCCACATGAAATGAAAACGTCTGTCCAGGATACTCTGTAGTGTTTGAAAATGAGTATTAGAACGGTTTATGGCACTAAAAATAACGCCAGGTCTGATTTCAATGAGTCACAAGTTTTCTCTTTTTGTCTGTTGTTCCACTACAGTGAAACCGGACTGTAGTGGAACAAGTAAAGAGGGTTGTGTCCATTCAGAGTCGTCATCTTGTCTCTGTCTTTCCCCTGTGTTGATCCCTGGTGCTTTTTCTACTTTTCAGTTTTCAGTGCAGGTTGATTACTGCTGAAAGAGTGGCTCTCGCAGAAACTCAAAGTGAGCCGACCGGTTCTGTATGTGTGTGTGTGCGTGTGTGTGTGTCACCTAAAGCGCCTGCAGCGGCCAACGTCACATGACCATGCTGATTTTTCTCTCATACTCGAGTGCAACAATATTGGTCCCAAGCCGAGGAGCCTTTTCTCCTATGTGAGATAAATAAATCATATCTTATCTTAAATTATTCTACTCTTCTTCTAAGGTTCTACATGCAGGTGTCTGTTTTTGCCAGATAGATTTTTCTCTCGGATAGGTCTTGAGAAAAAATGTCACAGGGCCTACTAGAGCTCAAAATTGCAGCACAGCCAAATCAGAATCATTGTCTCACTTATCAATCCATTTTCTTCCCCTTAATCAATTTCGGGGTCGGGGATTGCCACCCAATTCAGAGCTCCAGCCCCTCACTGATCCTCCTGCAGGTGGTGAGTCCACAGGAGGACGGCTGCTCTGTCTGCCTGTTCCGCCTTGATCTTTCAGCGGTGCTTCAGGCAAAATGGGGTTAAGTGTCTTGTCCAAGGACACAACGGCAGCAGACGTCAGTGGAGAAGGTCTTGTGTTGGGCTACTGACTTGTTAGGGTTCACTAATTTGCACTAAATTAGCTGTAATTTAGTGCAAATTGTAACAGTTTTTGTAACCACTTTTTTCTTCAAAATATTGTGGACCTGGACTAGAAAAAAAGGCCATATCTTTCCCCATTGCCTCTCTCTCTCCCCATCGCCTCTCCCCCCCCCCCCCCCCCCCTCTCTCTCCCCATCGCCACTCAAGTCTTTATTTTTATTATGTTTTCTTTACTATTGTGGTTTCCTTTTTACATGGGCATAAGGGATCTCTTCACAAAGGTTGCAGTGACTTTCTTAAAAATTAGCCATATTCTGCAAGCCCATTTAAGACAAAATGGAAATATTCTGTAAAAGGATGAAGGAAACGGTATCTGTCATAATTTAGTTATTTCCAAATAAAATATAAATTATTTAAAAATAAATGTATGAAATCCTTTTTCTAAACTTTCCACAGTCTGGAGCTGCAGCCATCCTGAGATTACGCCCCGTCTCTTTTATGCCTTCATGTGATTTTTCTTTTTTTTAAATGTCACGTTGTCCTTGTGATGAGGTCCTGTATAAGCTGTGCTATAAAAATGAATGTTCTCCTGCTGTCTTTCAGCCACAGCGCCTACGTCTTATGAAGGAAACTATGGGAAAATCATTTATAGAGTTCGCTCTTTCATCGACACGCCTCGATTCGCCAAAGACTATGACACTGAAAAGTCCTTCTACCTGCTCAGCCTCCTCAACCTCAACCAAGTGCCAGACATCTGGGTAAATCACAAACTACATCATATCATAGCAGTACCTATGTGACCAAGAAACAAGAAATTTTGTTTTAAATTTAAACAATGCTTTTCAATGATAGAGGTGTTTCTTGCCTCTGTAAGAAAGCTTTGAAATAATTATAAATAAATAAAAATGGGAAAAAACAAAAAAAAATACTACATTCAGGTGGTAGCTAAGATCCTTGTCTAAAACTCTGGAGCAGGCTCATAGAGTAAATCATGTCACTTAAAGAAGCTGATTTATTTTCTATTGAGTTTTACTACATACAAGTTGTATTCAATTCCGTAATTTAATTGAGCTTATTGATTCACCTTTGTATGAATTTAGGCCATAAAAAGTGCTGAGTAGAGACTTAGCGTGACGCTCGTTCTCCTCCACTCACAGAACGAGGCTGCGTCCTCTAGCTTCTACAGCTCTGCTGGTAAACACTGCAGTATGTTAGCAGAAAGTGGCTAATTCCTCTGGCGGGTGAATATATATATATATATATATATATATATATATATATATATATATATTTAAATTACGTACAGTAGCGTTGGCTTACATGTTATCCTCTGGAGGATTGTTGTACAGCTTTCAAGAAGTTGCGCTGATGCTATTGTTTGCATACGTATCAGATCGCAAATCAAACTAGATGGAAGCCTGTGAGCGAGTTGGGGGGTGGTGTTGAACATTCAAACTGAGAAAAACCTACCAGAAACGGATATAGCTCCTTTAACTGGCGAAATGTCTAAAAATAGTTTGAGTGGAATTACTTTTGTTTTAAAAGTCAGAAAACTGGTCAACCCATGACTTTATAGTGTGAGGATTCATCCTAGTTTGCGAAAGGAGCGCTTAAACTGAAGGGCCAGGGGCCCTGATATTTGTGTGAACAGTTTTGTAACATGGAACTGACTCCAAAAGATTATGTCGCAGACCGTGATTCTTTTCAAGTTTGTTTGACGTCCTTTCGTCCCCTGTGCCCAGGGCCCAAGTCAGTCTGCAGTGACCCAGCTGTTCACCTACATGCTCATGAAGACTGGCACCATGGTCCTGAAGGCTCAGACCGACATGAAGGGCTATACTCCGGGACAGGTCATTCAAGTGACCGCCAAAATCCACAACCAATCAGGCAAGAGCAGCAGCAACGTGACAGCCAGCCTCATGCAGGTACCAGGAGAGCGCCATGTGCTGTATGCTCTCAAAAATATGTGGGAGTTTGAAACTAAATATTTGCCAGGCAAATTATTTATGTTTTCTTTATTAGATTGTGGAAGGGAGGGAATATGGCAATTGTTCCCCCTTTCCAACTTATCTCAAGGATTGTGCCTGTTTGGAACATTATCCATTATGTATAATGCATTTTTAATGATTGTAAAATCAGGTGCTTCTGGTTGCTTGGAGAATATAAAACAGTTTCACAGAATGTTTTTAGTTTGTGTCAAAAAGCTGTTATTCCATATTGGTTCCAATAGTTTTGAATGAACACATGAACTTGTTCCAGCCCAGATGCTGATCCCAAATCACTGTTTGCAGCGTGTTACATATGAGACCAAGAAGCCCACACATGACCTCCGTGTGATCGCCCAGGTGGAAGGGGGTGTGGTGAAGGCGGGGAAGGAGCTGGAGTGGAGGGAGCAGATCATCGTCCCCCCTCTGCCCCAGTCTCAGCTCAACGGCTGTGACCTCATCAAGATAGAGTACTATGTCAAAGTAAGGAGATAAAAGAACAATATTATTATTCAGAATGAACTATTACTATCTGGGTTTATATGCTCCTTTAGAGTCTTTCTTGGCCTACTGGAAAAAGAAGGAAAGGAATCTGATAAAAGAGATAAATGAGGGTACATAACAGACAATGACATTAAAAGAAAAGCAGATGTGTTTATGGCTGGAGAAGGAAAAGAGTGTGTTGCACACAATAACGGGAATGATGTAATTAACATAGATAGATACTTTACTGATCCCCCATAGGAGAAATTCAGGTGTCCAGCAGCAGAAAACATGACGGCGTTGAAAACAGATTCACACGATGTAGTACTGTTTGTGGAATGTCTGTTAGAAATTATTCCAGATTATTTAAAACTGCTTGAAGTGTGAAACTGCTCTCTGGTTCTATCGGCTGAGCCTTTGTTCAAATACATGTTAAAGTTCACACTTTATCTATTTTGCACAGCAATTAAATTTTTAGATACTTTATTGATCCCCGGTATGAGCAGAAACACATCCATTCATACAAACTTAACGCATATTGAGATAATTCTAAAAATTCCTAACAATTGTATTAAAATACAACAGTACTTTAAGTCATAGCAGCAGAGGTGGTCAAATAGTCATCCATCCATCCATCCATCCATCCATTTTCTACCCTTTAATCCATTTCTGGGTCAGGGGGGTGGCAATCAGAGATGCCACCCAAGTCTCATAGCACCAGCCCCTCACTGACCCTCTGCAGGTGGTGAGTCCACAGGAGGACGGCTGCTCTCTGAGCATAGCCTTGATCTTTCAGTGGGGGCTTTGGGCAAAGTGGGGTTAAGTGTCTTGCCCAAGGACACAATGACAGCAGTCATCAGTGGGAGTCGGTGGAGAAGGTGTAGAGGTGGGAATTGAACCCACAACCTTCAGGCCTGAAGGCCAATGCTCTACCAACTGAGCTACTGTCACCCCTACTGTCAAATAGTCATGTTCCTGAATATTACTATAATCAACATTGAAATCACGCAATCATCTCACACATCTATTTCTAAACACCCTTACCAGACTTGACCAATGTTGTGATATTTGAGTTTTGTTAATCAATTGTGATGAATAGTTGCTTAAGTGATAGTAGACCGAGGGGTAGGCCATGGTACGGATGGAATAATGGCATGAAGAAGACGTTAAATGTTACAGATATGACAGTGATCGACGCGAGAGTTTGTGTACAATATGGGGAAGCGTGGAGAGTGATTGTGAAAGCAAGAAGTGACGCGACCCTGCGTACATGATGTGAGGTAAACCAGTTTTTGCTGAAGCGACCCCTGGCTGAAAGCCAACAGGTCAGCCAGGGCCATGACCCTGCCGTTGTGGCACCTGACAGCAGTACTGCTTGCCTGAGGTGTCTAGAGGTGTGAATGTGGATGAATGCGATCGGAACTTGTCCCTGTAGTCAACCACCCTACGAGGAGGTAATGCTTTACAGCTATAGATGATCAATAATGAAATATTTAATTAGTTAATGAGATCTCTCAAATAATTTGGCTTCATGTTTTTCAACCGTCATTTTTTCCAAAGAATACCAGTAGAACTGCTGTGCACCTACTGCACAAGACTGGAAGAACAAGAGCGTGTTTGGGACGTCCATGGGATGTCACGATGAGCACAGGCCATTGATTTGAATACAGATATATGTCTTGGAGGCCCCCAGGTGTCCAAGATGTCTGCATAATTGATGTCTACATTATTGCAGAACAATGATGGCCAATAAGTGTCTCTAAAGTGCATTAAAATGTCCTAGAGATGGTCTGAAAAGTGAATCCCTGTAGGCGCCCTGAATAATAGCGCTTTATTCATACCTTAACGCTATGCTTATTTTTTATTTTTCATTCAAGGTCAGCTTCAAGTCTCCTGACGTCATGCTGACACTCCCCATTCACATCGGAAACGTCTCTCTGGACAAAAAGCACCAGCCTAAATCCTCTCCCAACTGCCCCGCCTCTGCCGCGGCCTCTGACCCCGCCCCCGCATCTGCTTCTGCCCCTGACCCCGCCTCTGCCTTAGACTCCTCCCCTGTGGTCACCAGTGCTGCGCTACCCCCGCGCCCCGCCCCCAAACCTGCCCCGCGCTCCCGTATGTCCTCCTGCCACTCCCCCAGCGCTCCACCAGCGCTGGGGGAGTGGCAAAGGGGCCCAAACGAAGGGGCCCAAGGCGGGGCTGTGACTGATGGATACCCCAACAAGAGACAGTCCCAGCTCGTGTCGCCCAACGCATTCAGCTACGCCCCAGGGCTGTTTTTTGGACAGAATCAGCAGAGCAATGCCAGCAGCAGTAGTCCTGGTAATCCCCAAACACCCTCGAGCTGCCCCTATCCCGCAGACAACAGAGCGAGTATGATGCCAAGCCCCCACATCCTCCCACCAGACTACTCCACGCCTTCCTATCCCAGAGGTGAGTTTGTGGGACCTACAGGTTGGCAATGAATTATAATAATTCCACTTATGATGGTAGTGGTGTGCTGATCGTTTTTCTATTGGTTTTCTGCTGAAGATAATATTTCACTTTCTCAAACATGAAATACCAAAGCAAATATTGTAGCTATAGTGTCCCTTTAACCCTTGTCCTGTGCATCTCTTCTAGCTAATGCAGTGTAACCAGGTCAGTGATCAGTTGCTACATGCTCTTCTTCCCTTGGCTGGTGATAGGGGGGCAGAATGAGGCCTGTTCTAATATGTTCTATTAGAAACACTTTTCAGACAGAGTTAACAAATCCTGCTCTTGTGGAAGCTAAGCAGGGCGCAATGTCAGGTGCTACAGTGGGGCAGCTGTAAAGTGCAGTACTGTCGTTGTGTCCTAAGGCAAGAATCTGGTGTGTGAATGATTGGTGGTGGCATGGATTAATCTCAGTCTGCCCCAGGACAACTGTGGCTACATTAGCAGTACCAGCAGTATGTGTAGAGTAAATTAATAATTCCAGGTTAAATGACTTTGAGTGTAAGATACATTGATTGACCTCAGATCTGAAAAACTGTTTGCACTAATACGATTGGCTCATCCTCTTACCCGGGCTCACACTGGCCAGCAAAGCAAAGTCTCACCAGCAGATCTTGCCCACCACGTGTACATGCAATGTTGAGGGTAGCAATTCAAATTCTCTGCTGTTGGAGGCTTCTATCGGAAAAAATAAACGTGTGCGTCAGAACATTGGCCCTGAGAATTGAAAGTACAGTTTGCACAAGCCTTCTCTATTCCATTATAATATGAAGATGGATTCTTACTAGGGGTGGGAATTGGCAAAAACAAATTCTATTTCATAGTATTGCGATTTTGGGTTGCGATTCTGTGATATAATGCATTTCATGTCCCTCATATTAATTAAAAGGCATTACACAAATTTAGGAAAATGAAAAAAGAATGAGAAGTGCAAAGACTTGGGAGGGTAGTACAAAAACCTTATCCTTGAACATTCCGGACACAGGACCTTATTATTATTACATCATTATTCTCTGAATAGACAAACACTCACATAAATGGTGATGTAGCACTTATGTTGCTAATTGATTAGCTAATAGCAATAAATACTAACAATAGTAGACTTAGTAGGTCAATACAATTGACCTAGTTCCAAAATCAAACTCAGAAAGACTAGATAAGACTCAGGGAGAGAAGAGGCAAAGAGACTGGGTGTTGAGTTGCAGATTAAAACGGTACCATGTATTGTACACACAATTAGACAGACAACATAGACAGTAATAGCATTGGCCCCCTTGAACCTTTCAACATTTCGCCACATTTCAGGCTTCAAACCTAAAGATATAAAAATGTAATTTTTTGTCAAGAATCAACAACAAGTGGGACACAATTGTGAAGTGGAACGAAATTTATTGGATAATTAAAACTTTTTTTAACAAATAAACTGAAGTGGGGCGTGCAATATTATTCGGCCCCCTTGCGCTAATACTTTGTAGCGCCACCTTTTGCTGCAATTACAGCTGCAAGTCGCTTGGGGTATGTCTCTATCAGTTTTGCACATCGAGAGACTGGAATTCTTGCCCATTCTTCCTTGCAAAACAGCTCGAGCTCAGTGAGGTTGGATGGAGAGCGTTTGTGAACAGCAGTCTTCAGCTCTTTCCACAGATTCTCGATTGGATTCAGGTCTGGACTTTGACTTGGCCATTCTAACACCTGGATCCGTCTATTTGTGAACCATTCCATTGTAGATTTGGCTTTATGTTTTGGATCATTGTCCTGTTGGAAGATAAATCTCCGTCCCAGTCTCAGGTCTTTTGCAGACTCCAACAGGTTTTCTTCCAGAATGGTCCTGTATTTTGCTCCATTCATCTTCCCATCAATTTTAGCCATCTTCCCTGTCCCTGCTGAAGAAAAGCAGGCCCAAACCATGATGCTGCCACCACCATGTTTGACAGTGGGGATGGTGTGTTCAGCGTAATGAGCTGTTGCTTTTACGCTAAACATATCGTTTTGCATTGTGGCCAAAAAGTTCGATTTTGGTTTCATCTGACCAGAGCACCTTCTTCCACATGTTTGGTGTGTCTCCCAGGTGGCTTGTGACAAACTTTAAACGAGACTTTTTATGGATATCTTTTGAGAAATGGCTTTCTTCTTGCCACTCTTCCATAAAGGCCAGATTTGTGCAGTGCACGACTGATTGTTGTCCTATGGACAGACTCTCCCACCTCAGCTGTAGTTATCTGCAGTTCATCCAGAGTAATCATGGGCCTCTTGGCCGCATCTCTGATCAGTCTTCTCCTTGTTTAAGATGAAAGTTTGGAGGGACGGCCGGGGCTTGGTAGATTTGCAGTGGTCTGATACTCCTTCCATTTCAATATAATTGCTTGCACAGTGCTCCTTGAGATGTTTAAAGCTTGGGAAATCTTTTTGTATCCAAATCCGGCTTTAAACTTCTCCACAACAGTATCTCGGACCTGCCTGGTGTGTTCCTTTGTCTTCATGGTTCTCTCTGCGCTTTCAACAGAACCCTGAGACTATCAAAGAGCAGGTGCATTTATACGGAGACTTGATTACACACAGGTGCATTCTATTTATCATCATCAGTCATTTAGGACAACATTGGATCATTCAAAGATCCTCACTGAACTTCTGGAGTGAGTTTGCTGCACTGAAAGTAAAGGGGCCGAATAATATTGCACGCCCCACTTTTCAGTTTTTTATTTATTAAAACAGTTGAAATTATCCAATAAATTTCTTTTCACTTCACGATTGTGTCCCACTTGTTGTTGATTCATGACAAAAAATATTTTTTTTTATATCTTTGTGTTTGAAGCCTGAAATGTGGCGAAATGTTGAAAGGTTCAAGGGGGCCGAATACTTTCGCAAGGCACTGTACATAAGTCATGGGGGTAGAGTCCAATATTTACATTTGACCCGTGGGCCACTCACGCAACATGATTGGGAATGCACACGCTCATCGGAGCAAAATTCACATCACTTAAATGATACAAATACAACAGACTAGAGTCTAAGAAAGCAGACATAACAGTGACATAAACCTCAGAATACTCCAGGTCTTTACCCCAAACTTGTTGACAAAAAAGGAAATTGAGCCATACTTTAGATTTCAAAGGATGGAGAGTGGTGTAGAACCGGTTGTGATGAAGCCATTTTCTTTTGAACTTGCTGTTGAATGAATTCATGAAAGCAAAGAAACGCTACATGCGCCCCCTTGTGGATGTAATACGCAAATGTAAATTATATGGATAATAATACAATATCTTCTCTACTTTATCGGTTGAATTGCACTAAAACTTCCATAGATGATTACTGCTGGTCCATAGTATTCATATCATTGATGCCTGTGCTTGGTGAGCTGCATGTGTGTGGTTGGATATGTTTGATGGCGTCTTGAGAGATATATCTTTTACAAATTCCTTTTGTTTGTTTGTTCCAGATGCCCCACCATCTTATGACGAGAGCTGCAACACATAAGCCAGCCAGAGCTTTCTGATCAAATCCACATATCGGGAACTTCACCTTCTTTGGAACATTTTGTGCATCAGTTGTTGGTTTAAAAGAATGGTTTTTTTTAATGCTTTTTGGAGCTTTCAAGCAATATTTTCAAAGGCATATCTGAAACACCAAATAATTATCATTGAAACCACTTCTGCACAGAATACAGCACTTTGACAGAAAGTGTACCCCTAATTTGGGTTTTTAGATTTCCAAACGCTTTGCTCATGTTTAACTGTAAAATAGTGTAAAAGAAGTTCAAGTTGTGGATGTTTTTTAATATATATTGAGCATGTCTGAACAATACATGTTGTACAGTACATGTTCTGTTGTGTTTTGGAGGTTGTGGGAATCAAAGTTCTGCTGCTATGTGCGTCTTACATTGTTTTTGTTTTTATACTTTTACTGTACAGAAACAAACTGTTTTCAAATAAGAGTTTTTATTCTACCCCCTGTGTCAGTGGAATCTTTTGGTTAGTCTGCTAATCGGCAAATTGTATTTATTTATTCTATTACCGACTGCCTGGATTCCAATAAACAGATTCACCCATTTTATGTTGTCGTTTTTTTACTTTATTTGTCCTGCTCCAAAGTACACTGTTTCATGTATTTATCATGGTTTCATCATGCAATAACTTTTTTTTTTTGTCTTTTATTATTTTTTTTTTTAGATGGAACACATAACATTTCTTCTTTACTTTTTGCCTATTAAACATGGGTTATTTCATGCTACGTATTTAGTCCTAATTTTTCAAGAGAAATCTATGGGCAATACTTTAGTTTTGTGTTTGTGTGTGCGTGTGTGTTAGGTACGATGACCTCATTGGTGGTGCAGTGGTTAGCGCTTGTGCTTCACATCAAGGCCCTGCATTCGATTCCATTATGTGCTCTCCTATCTGTAGGTGTCCTCGGGGGGCTCCGGTTTCCACTTCCACTAAAAACATACAATAGGTTTCGCATGCGCCTCCTTTATGACGACCCTGCTCCATCTCTGTGGAGCGAGAGACCAATGCCCACTTTAAACATCAAATCAAGAATACTTACAATACCTGTGTTTGAACAGTTCGATTCTCTGATCTGTGTTGGCAAATTGACAACTTTGTAAAGTCCTCCTATTGTGATTTAGGGCTGTACAGAGGCAGAGCAGCCGTGGCAAGAGCTCTGGCGTGTGCTATCTGGTGCACACTATTGCGTATAACTACAGTTTTTTCAATGTGGTTTTACCGCAGATGGCAAATAAATTTTTTAATCTTCACAAGGCAACTTGTTATCAGTTCTCATTGTACAGTCTGACAGCAGCAGGAAGGAAACCTCTCCTTAACACATCGAGGGTGGATAAGTCTGTTACTGAAACGGCTCTCCAGAAAGGCTTTGACAAAAAGGGTGGTGCTACATGTTTGTATCAGAATTTCTTGATATTGAGATGACAGATATACTTTGTGGTCTACCTATTACCACCAGATATTACCAACAATTTTGGAATATTAAGGGGAAAAAGTAATTTTTTAGCAAAAATTTTTTTAAACGCATCATATAAATAAGGGAACATGCACTTTGTTCAGTGTTTCTATTTGTGTTTTATGTTGCTTATTTTAGTCCAATGGTGGCGTAGTTGTGCTTCATGTGTCATGTAAGACTATTGTGTACAAGCTACAATAGAAGAGAAAAGAGCCATCAGTAAAATTGGTGGTGGTGTGATCGGGTTAATCAATGAATCGCTAATTAATAACTGATCCATCAATGAACTCTAGTCCACAGCTTCCTCCATAGTTATGGTGTGATGTAGACAACGAGTGTGGAGATGAGACCCCGGACATGGTCATCTGCAGAACATACATGATCAGAGCACACTTTCAAATGTGTTCTACACCAGTGTTTTTCAACCTTTTTTGAGCCAAGGCACACTTTTTTTTTAAATTGAAAAAATCGAATGGCACACCACCGGGAAAAAATGAAAAAATATATACTCTGTAGCTTATATTCACAATATAAAGTCATTCTCATCAAAGTGCTGTTTTAATATACATTGAGTTCTATGGGACTTTTTTCTGGGTAGCCCTCGTGAATTTAGTCTGTAGTACCACGGGCGCCCCATAGAGCATAGATCCATGGCATAGAGCCATGGATCTATAATAATAACTGGATAGGCTATTACTAGCTTTAAGCTGTCCCACCTATAGGCACAGGGGGCGCCCGTGGTACTGCAAACTAAATTCACGTGGGCTACCCAGAAAAAAGTCCCATAGATCTCAATGTAAATTAAAACAGCACAACCTCAGCTGACAGAGAACCTACAGCTTTCATAAAGATCGGATTTTGTGGGGATTTTAGTGTCCCTTGTCATCCTGAACTTTTTTTCTTCTTAAATCCTTCGGTTTTCTTTAAATCCACACTTTACTGCCACAAACTCTGCTCCTTGCCTTCCCGCTCTGCCTCCGCTCTGCCTCCGCTCTTCCGCTGCTCTGATGATCAGCTCTGATTGGTCAGAGCGCAGCCGGGCCCCTCTGTGCGCGTGCATGAAAGCCACACACACGTATTTGGCGCAACGCATCAAGGGAGATAATCCACTGCGCGGAACCGGGAGGACCAGACGATGCCCAAATATAGGGGAGTTCAGCTAATCTCCCGGTCTCCATGAAGTCCCATGCGCTACTGAGCACAAGCCATTCATTTCAATAGGGCGCCATCGTGGATCACCGGGGCTTGTTCTATGCACGCACCACTTCCGCGTTTTAGCTACAACCCGACTTCACTTCCTGTTCGCGGGGAATGGCTTGAGTTTTACTGGAATTCAGCAGTGGTTTACACGAGTTTCCCAAATAATGCTCAAACGGGAATTAAACTGTGAGGATACTGGGCATTTTTGGGACACAGCAATGCTCTTTGATTGTGCTGTCATGTGTTTTTATAAAGTTTACAAATCTCTCTTGAGTGGCCACAGTCAAAGCTCTACCTCAGAGAGAAAGCACAGCGACACTTTTGGGTCAGTCTCACAGCTGAATGTATCAATGTAATTACTAAAAACGTCACTAAAACCCACCTAAAACCCATAGGATAGCATAGACAGGAAGTGAACGGGCTGATCTTTTTTAACAGGAAATTATGTCACGCCTTCCCGTGCATATAGCCCATTGCCCATAATTCTTTGCGGTACACACCAAAACGTCAGGAAAATGCATTGAAGTGTAAGTTTAGAAATATATATGCTGTATGTGTGTAAATAAATGTTGCTATGTTACTTGGATAGAAGCATAAATGTCTAATTGAAGAATTATGGACATTCTATGCTAACAATTTAACAACTTTCATAATCCAAGCTTTCAAATAACATTCAATTTAAACTTTACACTTAGTACAATGAACTGTATAAAAACATACCAGATAACTGTTAGTTACCCACATTTAACTTAAAATTATACAGCTATCTAGAATTACGAATAACCAATATACATGTATTTTAACGTGTGTGGAGCAACTCATTTTGTTTCCCATAGGGCCAGACAAAATTACCTTTAATTTTTTATAAAGTTTAGGTCTGAAAATGACCATCTCTTGACTAGTCGATGACGTACCCTGCACTCAGTGTGCACTGTCCCAATTCCGCATTTTTTGCACGGTTGTAAGCTGCACTTTCAAACCCCTGCGTGCACTTCAGACAAATGCACACTTCGTAGAGGAGTGTAGGGTGCAGTATGGGTATTGGGATTGGGCCTATAACTTGTGATTTATCTTAATCCCTTGACTGAAAGTTGTTGGAGGAATGAAAGAAAAGAAAGCTTGAGTTGACTGTCCACCCATCAATAAAACACATTTATTCTGTTATACTTGTTTTTATTTTTCTTACACTCTCACAATTGCAGGTTACTTACTCACGAGTGTATTCACAGTAAAGTGCATTGTGGATAAAATAAGTAACATTTAATAAGTTTACTATATGTAAGTATCACTTAGTTTCTTCTCTCATATATATAAAATAAAGTAAACAGGGCTGCTATAGAAAACTTGACTAATGTATAAAACAATTATGTTCTAGAAAACTCTAGTGGACAGAGGAGGCATTTGGATACATAAAAACATATCTTCTGTTGACTTGTGATATTTCTCCCAAAAGAGTGTTAGGTCAATGAATATGTTAGGTGGCAATATCAAATAAATCCCGTTTGCTGTGAATTGCTTTATTTTGGTGCGTATTTTTCCCAGAATCATTTAGAACATACCACAATCTGTCGATCAAATTCCATCAACACTTTTGCTTCTTCTGTGGCTTCCATTATTCCCTACAGTCTTTGCAAAACCAATTTCCTGAGGGGACCTTCCTTATGCCAATACACTTGAAATGTAACCAAGTGTACAGGCAATTTTCATTGTCACACCGAATAACACGTTCACCCTCTCTGTATGGTTTCCTGCAGATGCATTAGATCTAGTCATGTCCTGGTTGATGAGAGGGGATAGAACAGATCTGGAGAGGAGTTTTCCCACCAACTCTGGCAACACAGCTTTGCAGAAAAATTCTGAGGCTCTTTCGACCTATCCTCACAGAACTCCCCTTTAAAAATGATTCTCGCAGTTTGTTGTCTCCTCTTCTGTCATAATCATATTTTCAAATATGCTCTCACAATGACGTAACAGTGGTTCACTTGGGGTCGTGGCAAAAGTTTCATCGTAAAGCCCGGACCCGCTGCAGTTTGCCTACAGGCCGGGCATCGGAGTTGAGTTCGAATCCCGGTCGGACCAGGGCCTTTCTGAGTGGAGTTTGCATGTTCTCCCCGTGTCTGCGTAGGTTTCCTCCGGGTACTCCGGTTTCCCCTACCACTAAAAATATGTACAATAGTTCTGGCATGCGCCTCCTGTACTGGCGACCCCGCTCCCATCTCTGTGTGGAGTGAGAGGACAAGTGCCCATAATTAACAATTGTAAACCGCTTTGAGACTCAGATCTGCAGTGAAAAGGCGGTATATAAATAAAGATTACTTATT